CTCACAATGTACTGAGCAAATCTGGATGCAAACCATACTCCCTCGCAAACACAAATGGTACTATCCCTTGCGGTAGAGCCGCCTAGGGACAAACCAAAAACGTATCGGCCTCATCAAATTTTACTAATATACCATAAGTTTAGTCTAAACTAAAGTTCCAAATCGAGGTAAACTCTGAATACTAGATATGAACCAATATTTACCTGTACGATTGCAGCATGTAACCTGGAACCTTTCAATCCGACAAGAAGAGAAGCAGCAGCCATGAAAAGGGGACCTGAAATGAACCTAATCAACATCCCCATTGTCGCCTTCTTCACTCCACAAACGATCATCTTTGGCTGTAACGCCATGAACAGACCTGTAAATTTTAAATTTGTTTGAATACGTTGTACGTAAAGTAAAATAATTTTATCTAATATATGATTTTATAAGAAACATGATCATTACCTAAACTAAACATAGCCATCCCAAGACCTGCATCTGATATTATCTTTATTGAAAATTCCACTATACTTGGCAACGCTATATTCCATCTGCTCATTATTTATACAATCAAAGTTAACAATCAGATCAATGAATATAGATAGATTTAGGGAGTAATTTTTTTACTTACTTGAAGGATATAAGTGACCAGACAAGACCTAAGAGGCTGGAATAAGTATTAGGGTTTCGAGAAAGCTTGCGTCCCACGACTGTTAGTATGAGCCGCACCATAACAGTTGCACTTGGCATTTCTTGCTTCCCAATAGCATTCACCGTAGCTGTATCTTTTCCGGTGACTCCTTCCTCCATGGAAGCACCACCACCGGCTGCATTAGGCGATGGTGCAACCTTAAGTGCGTCTCTGAAACTAATCTCCTTCTCTGGTACTAATACATGGTTACACGTACTTTAGGACAATTTTGGAAAAAGTTTCTTAAAGCAACTAATTATAAAGTCGTCTTGTTAATAATTTTTGTGGAAAAAAACGAATTTGAAAACGGAAAAAGGGATCATGCGTCAGTTTCGCTGATGATTACACACGTGCTAGAAGAAAATGATAGCATCTCATTTCTCAAATAAAATGATTTGACTTTATAAGACCAAGAACATTATGGAAACAAAAAAAGTCAACAACTTATTGACCATATTTGTGATCTTATTGATTATAGTAAGTTTGCGGGTGGTATGAGGGGTCCGCTTTATTTACATGCTTCATGATGTTGTTCTATTAGAAATTTAGAATCT